GGGGGGGGCATGATGGCTGTCTAAACCTGTGGCATAGCCCAAAGAAAAGACTTGATACAAATCGACATTGAGGAAAGGCATTACTATTGGAGACGCATCACTGACAACATCAACACAAATAAAACTACATTCAACGAGCACCTGAAGGGAACAATAAAAGATAAGCTGCATTTACAGAATATGTATGAAAGGTATGCGTGTCAGCAAAATGTAAGAAGTTACAAAGCAAACGGAGAGACAGTTTTGAAGGATTCTTAAAGAGCAGCTCAAACTTATCACATTCACTAATCAGAATCTGAGACAATCCTTATATTATATACTTTCAGATGTAGGGAAAGCAAAAGAGGCATGCCTTGATGTCTTTACCGATATTTGCACACGAAAAAAAATCTCACATGCACGGCTGACATTTTTACAAAAAAAAGGTTCCAGTTACACTTTCTAACTGAATGACTGTCAAGGCTGTGACCCGCTCAGCCAGATATCTGTTGTCAACAAAGTCAAACAAACATACCAGAAAAATGTAAGCATACACAGTATGTGTAAACCAGAAGCCTTGCACCCATTAATACACATCCACACAGTCGCTCAGTATGTCACAAAGTGAAACGTGGCCCGTCCTGTGAAAGCAGCAGACTGAAAACCACATGAGAGAGCAAACAACTCCTCTGCAAAATGACCTTACTTGACTTTCTCTCACTACAGCAAACTCCAGTTGGATGAAATCAGCCACAGTTCTGAGAACAGGGCCGGACTTGGCTTTGTGATGCACAACTTCCAGTGTGTGCGCGTGTCTGCCACTGGGCCAACAACGCTAAAGCAGTTTAAAGAGGAACGCCATACCGTACAGAGAGTCAAAACACATTCTGGATATTTTTCAGCGCAAAAATAGCTTGTATGCTTCTGCTTCTCTCAGTTCTCCCTAACCGTGACGAAATAGGCAGTACTCCAAGGTGTATTGCGTATTTTAAGGCATCGAACATATTTATTGTATACCAACAGTAATGTTAACTGTGATAGACAGCACGGCTGTGGCTATGTACTGAGACTTGTCGCACACCAGAAAGCCTCTCGTGGTAGAGCTGCAAGGCCAGATACAACAGGTACCTAAACAGCAACTCTCTCAAAAGCACCATACATGTGCTTCCAGTGGATGTCATAAGCTCCACCAGACTTCAAGTCTTTCCAGCAGAGACACAGACTCTGACAGTAGATTGTAAGCTAAAACGCAAGAATCAAGCAGAACGTGAGGATGTAGTTACCCTTTAAGTTCACTTCGAACAAAGTTATTTATTGGAGCTCAGTTGAACAGCAATATTTCAAGTTACAGCATATGAAACGTCCTTCATTGCAAACAGGACATGAAGCTGGGTCATGCTTTAAGTCCCAAAAAACTATCTTGTCATAGCCATATTTGTCATTCAAAATGTCAATTTTTGCAAAAAGGAAACACATTTGCTGCCATGTTACTCACTCTTTTTTTCTGAGTGTACTATACTCAAGTCTCTTAGTCAACAGACATTCTGGTTAATACCTAAACTTTAGATTAGGCTAAGCCATAATAAAGGCAAAACCTGGTGACGCAAAAACCACTTCAGCTTGATTATGTTTCAAATGTAGGACATGCGTGTGTGTGTGGGTCTGCACTTACACTCTGTCTCTCACACATCTGATGAAGGTAGGCCCTTCCTCCAACAATGACTATCTGAGCATTGCGTGGGTTGCTCAAGTACGCTGCCAGCTGCCTTTGTCTTGATCGGTACCAGCACACGTAGAAGAATATCTTGATAATGATAAATACAATAACAACTCTGAAAAGACAGGGCGAGAAGGGGGAATGCGTTAGGGATAGGCAACTGTACACATGAGTTGTATACTCCCATCTTTAACGTGCAATAATAACTACATGTTATACTCACATGTACCAGTACAGCTCCATTTTGGTGAGATGTCGATCAGTGAGTAGAGGCTCTCATTGCTGATCCCAGGCTAATCCCACAATTTAGCCCTGAAACCAATAAGAAGTCTTAGTGATTCTTCCTTGTCCATTACCTTGCTTCATTTGAACAACTTATACACAGTTGTAATCAACACCAGCTCACTTTTACAAAAGAAGAAGCTCAGAGCATCTCACGGTTTGAGCTAGGTTAAATTTAAACGTTAAAGCACTTTCTGTAACTTAAAACAGATGGTACGTTTAGCACGACGGCTAACTTTGCTAACGTCACCCATCTCAGCTGAAGGCAAACAGAGGAACAGGGTGTTGAACTTACTGTATAGCGACAACTCCGCCTCGTGAATTAGCTTAAACGGTGTGCCATTCCCCTTGTTGTCTCGAAGATGTGATGAGAGTAGAGCTCCAGGGTCGAGCGGAGGCTAACTAGTTAAGCTTTAGCTAGGCTATCAAGTAGGATAGCAGGCCACAACAGCGGCTAAAATGAAACTATCTTACGTTAACGTTACAACAAAACAACGAAAACAGACCTGTTTTCTGAACATACCTCCTAGTATCATATACAAGGTTACTAGCTAGTTGCTCGACAAGCTACTCTTTAACTTAATCTCAAAGAAACAACTAAAGTTAAACTACTCGTGGAGAGCTTTAGCTCGCAGTAACGTTTACTGACTTACGTTAGCACACCCCTGTCCGCTGGGTTCACAGTGGGCGGTGTTGCCTTTAGTGTTTCCCGTAAACTGCTCCCACTATTTATCGGTTAGTTTTTGCGTTCAAGTGCCATTGTTGCTGTAAGAAAATGTAATTATGTTTATATTAGTAGCACTGATCTTATTTGCGCTGTCAGAGGATCATGGAAATAACCAATAAATTATAAAAGTATGGCCCCTAGAAGAAAAGTACAAACAGTAACTTTATAAAGGACTACAAATAGTAATAACAAGTTATACCTTCACAGAGATTACGTCTCAATCTTGTTATGTATAGTCTATGGTCTCAGCAGGAGCGCTGTCACAAAAAGAGATAAAACAAAGGGATGTTATCTATATATCTACATAGATATCTGAGAAGTTTCATTGACGTCCATCATAAATATCAATATTTCCGAGGTTCATTTAAGGTAGCATAACTTCGTCTGACAAAAAGGATATCTGACCAAATAATAAATATATTTTGATTAAAAATGTCTTTATATTATACATAAATATATATTTATCAAAAATGCATTCAGTCAGAGGCAAAATTAATCCGACACCCATAAAATAGGTCAAATCAAAGGTTCAGTGTCTCCCCGTGACACCTTCAAAGATGTAGTGAAAAACTATTTAAAAACTCATTCAAATGGATGTACAATGTAAATTAATTATAAAATATAAAGTAAAAGGTCTTATGAGGTTGTTCCTATCTCGCGACTCTTTGCCTCCATCTAGTGGTCAGTATTTTGTAACGCAGTTTACCATTTCAAAAGGACTATCACATACATTTATCTAGTAAACAAGACGAAAAATGTAAATTGAAGAGAAAAGCAGGTCTATCAGACTATACAGGGTGTGTAATAGACAGGTTATTTCTAAGCAGAATACAAGAAATCTGCAATATGTTTAAGGTATCTAATAAAGCTGAAAGATCGATCATAGTGAAATCAATAGTTCTATGAAACACTGAGAATTTGTTTTTTTATATATTCAAGTATATAACAAACAACATTTTTATTACAATTTAAAAGCATCTTTGATTGCAGGTCATTACAAAATGCAGGTAAACTTGTAGTCTTTTAGTCAAAAGTCGATTTGTAGTTCATGTGTATTATTTATTAAAGAATAACACAAACAAGATGATTGTCATTTCCGGTGAAAAGCTCTTCATCAAATGCTCCATTGTTGTGGCAAAGTTAAAGAAAAAAATAGTTGATCTCCCCAAATGCACAACTTTTTAATAGTAAATTAAAGTTACATTTACAGTAAATCTTCAGCTATTTGTCCAATAACGCAAACACATTCGTCACATTTTCACAACGCTCCGTCAGTGAAGAGACACTTACGAGTCCATTATCTTCCATATCTGTTATCTTCCACAATGATGGTTCGTCTTGGGTAGGTATCTACTTCCACAAATATGTAACGGAACTCATATTTTCCAGTTTCAGGATTCTGTGAAATAAAAAATAAAAAAGTTAAAACAAAATCTCAATTTGATGGATATAAGGATTATAATTATCACCACTGTACATTTAGTCTCTGCTGTTACAAGTGGAATTACAATTCTTAAATATTACGGTATGTTACCGCTTTGGTATGTCCCATCCATTTCATAAACTGCATTTCTACAAAGGCAAATACCAACCTCTTTTGACTCGGAGTGCACAGTTCCTTTGCGGCCTGGCTCGGAGCCCTCAATGTAAAACTTAAGTCTCATAAGCTTCAGTCCATCCTTCTGGTACTCCAGATGACTTAATGTGGAAACACAAACACAGAAGATAAACAAACAGGATCCCTCATCACTACTACCACACAGCTAACTTGTGAATAACACAATCTATTTGAAACTCTGCACTGAAATGTGGAACTTATTCATTCCCTCTTATAACAACAATAAACAGCTTACACATAGTAGCAAAACACCCACCTGACTTGCTGCCTCCTTCCTCGACGGGTAGTCTCCCCATAGCACTTGATTGGCTCCCCAAATGCACCAATCACCTACATTTTCAATAAACAAAAATGTTTTTTTGCACTCCACTTTTCAACAGGAGAAGACTTCAAAATGTGCGCTGAATTGAATGTAGAATAGGCAACATAAACTACAACGCACAATCCAAAAATTGTCACGATTAATTCACGCATTCAGTGCAACATTTACAGTATAGTCGTGTATTATTTAACTGTTGGGAAGAGACACTGTTTGGCCTCAGCAACATGTGATCCCTTTCTTACCTCTGGGTCTAACTTGACTTTGTTGAAGGCTTTCCCATAGACTTTATTTGGACTTGAGGAGGAAAACAGCTCTTGGAACACCACATACAACAGCCCACCTGAACCACGTGCACAGAACAACACACGTTACTGCCCCATTCGCATTATTTGACTTGAAATTAGATGATTATTCCGATTGACATCTTGAGGTTGTAGTCACCTGTCACCCCGAGCCCAATGACTACAACTATCAAGTAGGTGAAGTCTCTGCCAGCGTCTTTCACTGGAGGATATTGAGGGTAGGAGTTACCAGACAATCAGTCAACAATTTGGTACTTTATAAAATAGAATACATTTGATGGTTATAGTTTCACAAATGCAAACAGGTGCTTGCTTTATTCCATAAATAAATTGGCCCCTACACCAATGTTTACACATTGCATTGATCACTTGTACACAAATATTATAATCTACAGTCAATAAAATGAAGGAAAACTTGAATACAATGCCTGTTTGGCAGTGTCCATGTCTTGTTTACCTTTCTGTGTCGCTGAAGGCTTTGGGGTCCCACTCTGGTACCTGGAGACCGACCTGTCTCTCTCTTCGGGGCTGCTTTGGTTTCTGGCTGTAGAATCGAGCGAGATACGCCTCCGTGTCTGTGCTCGAGTTAAACCGCCCAGCACTGGCAAGACAGACGAAGGAGCCTCGACTCTTCTGCGGAAGGTCAGTCTCGAGATCGTCGACACTGTCCTGTGCGCGTGGATGAGCAAGCTGACTTGCGTGAGTTTACATTTCAGCCCGCAGTACTGTGTCGCTGTCTGTTGTAGATTCCGGTGCAGCAGGGCTTTCAGTATCTGCGTGTAAGCCATGATTACGTCCTCTGTGAAGAGAAGCACAGCCAGCTAGCAAGCGGAGTTTGTGTTACTTTAGCGCAATCGACAACTAGCAATAGCTGTAAAAACTAACATGCACCTACTGCAGGCTAAAATAATAATAAAGTGACTTATTATGCGTCATGAATGCACAACTTACAACACTGACTAACCTACTCAGGGGACTCCTGTGCTGGTCTGTGTCAAAAATCAGTCGTGCTACTTCTCGTGCCTTATGCGCATAATGTTGACGTCACGCGCCTTCGGATTCATGGGAGACGGAGTTTTTTTTAATGTAGCACCAAATGTAGCTCGCCCTTATATTTACAGAAAACAATATACACACGTTCACAGGCAGGTAAGTATACAGTCATGGTATTATAAATAGTTGTTAGTAGCATACCAATAATTAAAGGTGTACAAACTGGCTTCTTTAAAAGAAACATTGTTCAGAAAACAAACAAAACAATAAATACGATTTGGTTCCATTTGATACAATTTTTCTTAAATCAGAACATAATATTGACATATGATTAAATTTGAACTTGATATGAAAGTCTGTCAACATGCCTATTTTTCAATATATCCGCTTCGTATGATATCTTACAAAAAGTTATTTTTCATCAGTTCTCATATGGATATACAGCAACAAGAGTGATCAGTGCACCTGCACAAGCCCCTGCAGTGCACAACCTGTTGAGGCAACAAAACTACTTAGTTAGGTAAAGATTTTGGTTTGGGTTAAAATAAGTATGTAATACTAAACCCTTAGTTTATTGGTCTAAAAGTAGTCACGTTTAAGTATAAAGTATATTTAATCTGGTCTAATCTAAATACAGGGATCAGCATATGAAATATACACCCTGTGTTCTGAATTTTTGAAACTGTTTAATATAAAATTTATTGTTAAAACCTACGAATTTCCGGAAAGAATAGCTAATGAGTTGATGACCTAAGTATCATCAATACCCCTGAACAGTGAAGAATAGAATAGAGCATATGTTACTGACAAAATAAATCATCACAATAAAATCAGTAAACATCAGTTTATTGAAAACATTCTGTCCGGCATTTTCTGTTATCAAATTAATATGCCAACAGGTAAAAAAACCCAAAAACATCACAATGAAATGAAGTTTGACAAAGATAAAGTAAGTAATTAATGTTCAGACATCTGTGGAATGGGAATAAATAAACGTTAGTTGATGGGTCAGTAGAATCACGTATTGGCCTCTGCACCAATTAATGAACTTTAACATCACTTTATTTTAAACATTCAGTTGTTTGTCTTCTCAACAAGGCTTTCTCTACTTGTTTGGATATAAAAACAACCTGATACTCTACTGTAAAGAAATGACATCAAAATAAGAAATATAATGTGAAATCAGCAGCTGAAATATGCAGTGTCATATTTTGATGGTAACATGAAACTGATTTAAAAAAACCTGATTGTTTTTTTTTTTTCTCCAAGAACAACTTTACATTAAAGGTACTCTATTTTTACAAAAAAAACAAAGTTTCAGTCCCGTATCAGATATCATCAGTGTTCCACCGCTCGTAAATCCCAGCCTCTTGTGGAGCACAGGTGTGGGGAAAATGCACTTCTGCGGTCCCAAAGCAAAGAAGAAAAAGTTGCGTACACAACAAACCTTTTTTTTTTTTCTCATCACAGATCTCTACATTGGTAAAGTTGCTCAGGGCAACAGTTCACTCAAGACGCGAGGGAGTTAAACCTTAGCTTCGAATGCTGTCAAACTTGGCAATATGCAGAGGAATGATGCTGCATCTCTCTGATGTATCTGCAGAGAAATAAAAACACTATTACTTTAAGTCTGTTCTGGGGCCCTACACTCTTCTCATCTGCTGCTTGGGCTGCTTGTGATCAAATTGGTTCAGACTTACTTAATTACTCAGCTGTCTGCCTCCATCTATACGGGAAGATGAGTTTGTGACTTTGTGTGTGTGTGTTCAGGAGAGCGTAAAGAAGAGAGGAAGAGATGAGTATTTGTGTGAGCTGTTTTGACCGCTTTTTAAATATCTATGACAGAAGTGTGGGCAAAACAATACAACACAGAGACAACACACAGACATGAGAGCGATGCGAGTACAGAAAAGAAACATTTTATTCAGTATGTGCAGACATACGGATCTGTGTGTGATTGTGTGTGTGTATATGGAGGAAAAGGAGAGCATGGATGTAAATAATACATACATGACATTGAATACAGAAAATAATGTACGCATAGATGGTAAACACCATAAAAACAGAGACAGTAAGAAGAAAATTGGAACTCAGACGATGACAAAGTGTGAGAAAAGCGATGTCATATGTGAGTGAGTGCGACTAGTTTCTCATTGTGCTCACAGCTGATCTACTGTTCTCTCCTTCCATATATTAAAGGTTGTGTTTCCTACAAAAGCATCCTGCCAACAGTGAGCGTCATTAGAGTGTGAGGCTGATCCGTCCCTTCTGCAGAATATATAGGGTCCACCTCATAAGGACAAACGTAAAAAGTCCCTTAACTTGTCTGTCTGTGACTATTTGAACCTTCTAGGACTGATTTTATTGTCCTGCTTGGTGAAACAAATCTTTTTGGTTTGGGTTCTTCTTCTAAAGCAAATCAGCCACAACAAATAAACAAACATCTATTTATGAAGGTGAGACATGAATATCGTGTGTTGACAGTTTGAGGACACACTAAAGGGACAGAGGAACTGTTGACCAAAAGCCAATAAAAAAAAAAGAAAAAAGGAGAAGCTTTATTGTCATTTATTTTACAAGGCATCAGTAAAACCAGCCCTGAAAGATAATTTGAGTAACTGTAAAAATCATCCTTTCAATTTGTACTAGTATAAAAGTCTGTTTTAATACAAAGATATTAAGCTCCTACAGTAGAAGAGAGTTAGAAGACAAACAGACTTGAAGTAAATATGTTTGTCGGAAAAAAAATGTCTTTGTCAAAATAAAAATGTCTGTCAGAAAGTTAGCCAACGTATTTAAAAGGAAGTTTTAAAGTGTGAAAAATGAAAACGGTGAAATTCATTTGCGCAATTATCTTCACCCAATGATTTGGATTAGCAACAGCATGCAGTGCAATTAATTCATTTTGAAGATGCTTTTTTTCACTACTCTCTATGTCCTTCGACTTATGCATTAGTGGATGGGGGGGGGGGGGGCTTTTCATATTTTAATGTTAGTAGGTTAATGTTTAATGGATACAAAAGACGCATGCACAAGCCACACATCTCGGCTTTGAACTGTTATCCAAATTAAACTGCTTCTGGGTATTCCAACAGCTTTAAATGTATTAAGGTTAGTAATTAATTCAAATTTTCACTAATAAAATAAGTTTTCCTAGATTTGAAAAACTGCAAGCATCTATAGTTTGCGATAAAAATCATAACATGTGTGCTATTCATTTGAAAAATACATGCTTAGAAATAAACATGAAGATGTTTGATCACATTAATTTAGTTATCAACGAGGAATCAATGACTATGACAGATATGTTTCTGACTAACATCCCAAATTTAAAGATTAATAATGAATAATCAGTAATCGTGATCATTCTAAAGGTCCGTCTCTTTCCAGTGAGACATAAAATCTGGGCTGACTACAGTACGTACAGAGCTGATGCGCTTCACAGCATCTCATCTAGTCCTTTGTGTTCATCTTTGCACATGAATACATTTTCAATATCCTTTCGTCAAAGTGTCCCTTCATCATCATCATCATCATCATCATCATGCTGGTGTAAATCTCCGCTCCGCTTTTTCATATGTGAGTGACGCCCGTTCGTACTGATCCAGGATTGCACTATTCTCAAGAAGTCTACATGATGGAGACAATGTAACATAATGTAGAACATAAGCAGACACACACACACACACACACACACACACACACACACACACACACACACGACATGACAGCACACTTTACACATTAAAAGACAAAATAATAGGTAGCACTTTATGTGACTGCTCCATGTTATGCAAGCATAAAGCTGCAAGCACGAACTACTATCACTCTGCATTGAAATGTAACTTTTTGTCCTCTCGTCGGTTATTTACATCTCAAATGTGTTCATCAAAATGTTTATATTACCGTATCGTATTATGCTTATTGCAACCTCATGAAAGCACAGCCGTGGAGCATACACATGAACTGTTACACACAGGCATAAATACTATGCTTCACAATTAACCAAACATATAATCAAATGCTGCAAGTGACATAAACCATGCATAACCTTAGTATACATGTGTGATCAGGAAATATTTGTAAATGACAAAGAGAGTATGTGCTTTCTTTAGTGTGTGCAAAAATCATCAATAATTTCATGAAAGCGTGGGATTGCGTCTGCTTTCCAATGTGTGCTTTTATGTGGACTTAACAAGTGACTTCACATGAGTGACATGAATTATTTTCTGTGGGCCTACTGGGAGAAAAGTGCAGAGGTTAGACATATTATTTGATAACATTTTCAACTAAAGATGATTGAAAAAGTCCATGCTAATGAATGTCCACTGAGTGATACAATGTATGTCCTCGGGAGGACATACACAGTTAACTTAAGCATCACAAAATACTTCAAACAAACTCAGTCGGAGGGCAAGATGGCTGCAAGCAAGAAAACCATCTTGGTGAAAATGAACAAATAAAAAAAACATAAAAAAACAATATAAACCCGGGCAAAAATCACAGAAAAGGAAAACTAACTCACATTAAAGTATATACTGACTGGGCAAATGGTAGCTACACAAAAAACATATAGAGATTTAGATTGTTGGATAGGGTTGCTTACCTTGAAATTGTCTTAGACCCTAGTTGTGTTGTACTCTGATTCATGTTTGCTCAAAGAGCCAATGAGGCAGAACCTGAAATGTCATGGCTCTTTCATTTAATATCAAATATCCTTTTGCATAGAGAGGTCAGAATGCATAATGTGCTACATAACAGCAAAAAAAACGTCATTAGTGCTTTGCTAGTCTCTGGGAGCCTCGCATGCAGACCTGTAGAAAATGAATAAACAGTAAATACCACTCTGGAAAGAGCACATAGAAAGTGCATGCAGGAACGTATTTCCCCCCAAAATGTACTCCGATAGCTTCACATAGTGTTTTTGTAAACATATAGTTACTTTTCAAGCAGTCATGGTGCAAGTATACAATAAAATATTCTTTTTTTTAGATAGAAAATCTTGTTCATGCCAATATGTTAAGCTATATCATTTCAGTATCACAGTTAGGAATATAAATGCATATTTTATGATAATTTGCATTCATGTCAGTGAAGTTAGTCGTCTTTAAGAGGCACAGATTGAAGCCCTTGTGTTAACTGTCAAAACTAAAAATAATTCATATTTTCTAAAATGAGGTCTGTATTTGCTTAAAGAGCTGTAACAAACCTCAAAATACAGTAGAGTGAGCTAAGAATCACTGACAAACTAGCAGGGGGCACTTGACATGTAAAGGGGGGCACATTTTCTAAGATAATTTAGCCCTTTGTGGAAAAAAAACATTTTTAATGATCGAAAGGGGAGAAAGAACAGGGATCAGTGCAAACGAAGATGCTTATCATAATACTTAAAAGAAAAGAATGAGAGGAAGAGGAGGAAAGCTAAAATAAGAGGAAAACATAAATTGATGTAGGCCTAAGTATCCCACACACATTTCAAACATCCCCCATAGTTAACTCTACGGTTGCCGTTTTTTCCTCATCAGAAATCTATGGATACTGACCGCTGTACTGCCTTTTCATGGCGTGAAAGCCGGTGGCTGGTGGTGGGAACTTCTTCCAGGTCGTCGTCCAGGTCGCATCCATTGTCCGCTGCCTCTTGCGAGTAGCTATGCTTCATGACCAAGATGCTCCTGCGATTCCCAGTGGACGGCAGCAAGGGCCGCACTGCCATGGGCGGCTGCGGGAGGTCTGTGAGCAGAGTGGCGGCCCCTGCGTCTCGGGCACTCAGGTTCCCGCGACTTCCGCGTCCACTGAGGGACAGCTGGGATATGTGGGCGGAGCCGGGGATGGAGAAGGAGCCACAGTGGTGATCGTGGATGCAGCGAGAGGAGGCACGGCGAAGGGCGTGGTAGTTCTCAAAGTCTTCTGCCAGGTCGACTAAGTCGGCTGAGGCCGCTGCAGCTGTGGTGGCGCTCCGTAAAGTACACAGCTCATAGTGGGGCGGCTCAAAGACCTCCTGGAACATGGTGGGGTCAAAATCCTCCCGCCGCAGGATGTACTTTTTACGTGGCTGCTTGATCTGGACAATGACGGAGACGATGAGGAGGATGAGGACGATGCAGCAAGTGACACCAATTATGGTCCCGTTTGTGTTGTTCAGGTTGTCCAAGATGTTGGCTTTCCTCTTCTCTGAACATGGGTAAGAAGACATCACAACAGAAAGGGAACTTTAATGAGAACATTAACTACACGTCCCTTTGAAATGCTTGGCAAAACGTGTGAAGATAACGATCACAATGAGACAACAGAACTATGATCACCAGCTCTGTTCCCTTGGCTGAACCCCTCGCACAAACAGTGGTTGTTCAATCATAGCTTAGCAACCGTCATTAGGCACGGCAGGCCTTTCAAGCTTTGGATGTCTCAGGGGCTGTTGTAAGAGATACTCTGTTTATAAAGAATTTGTATATAAAGAGTTTGGATGGTTTCTTTTTTTTAACTGGCACACACACACACACACACACACACACACACACACACACACACACACAGTAAAGTCAAGTCATTTAAAAAATATATAGGCCAATATCACAAATCACAAAGTTGCCTCAGGGGGCTTTATAATCTGGACAGCAAAAGACACCCTCTGTTGTTGGACGCTCTATGCGTATAAGGAAAAAACCATCTCTCTGCTCTTTACTTAATATCTCCAACAGTAACCACAATTTACATTCAAGAAAATTCACCTCCTTTGGCCGTCACTCATTCCGTCACTCAGTCGCTTCTAGTGACTGGAATGAGTTGCAAAAGATGTTAAAACTCCACTTCTTTGCTACAACTTCCTCCTTTAATAACTCATTACATGCAATAGTTTCTCACCACGGAACCTGCTTTTAAATGTGCTTCTCTGGAACACATATATCTCTATTGTTGTATATATACCGTACACATAGTGATGTTTTCATTTTGTGTACTGTTTGTTTATTGCACTAGTTGCATCTAGGTTTTAATGTCTTGTATCGCCTTGCCTTTTGTCGTTGTCTTTCCAAATGAGAATTGATTCTCAATTGACTTAATCCAAATTAAATAAAGATAAATAAATAAAAAACCCTATAACGGGGACAATAATGGAAGAAACATTGAGCATGTGAGGGCGGGACTGATACAGACAGATGTTTACTTATTATCATGCTCGTTATTAAGTGGAGGCTAGTGGTAGTAAAATGTACACGCAAAGGATTTCACATTTTGTTAATCAAAGCTATTTTATTGGAATCTAAATTTTATATAAGAAAGTAACAGGTGTTCTGTCAATATGTGCTCCCTATGATGTGCTACTTTGCAGTTCGATTGGGGATATCGCTCTATCAGACTATGCTGCCCCTCAAACCCTAGGGTCAGGGGCTGGGGCAATATTAAAAGTGAAGAAGAGCTTGGCGCCCTTAATGTCACTCGTGCTATTTTTTCTCTCTTTTATATGTTATTTGGTCCAGCACCAAGTATTTTTCATCTGAATGTGCATGCTTTTGTGATTCTTTTTCTTTCAACATTAAAAGTGAGCTGTTTAGTAGTTAAGGGGGGGTGGGGCTTAGAAAATGGTCAAAGATTTAATTTGCAACAGCTCAAAGAAGGAGACACCATAGGTCACATGTAAAGAAAACAAGATTAAGGCCATGACTGCCATTAGCTATTGAAAAGACGGAGAAAAGGTCACATTGGGTCATAACTATAGTGTATTTATCACGAGGGAAACCACAAAGACTGACTAACAGTGTGTGGAGAGGTCTGGCATTGAAACGCTGGATGATCATGTAGCACAGCACACTGAGATTCAATGACAGCAAAATGGTTACATTAGGAATGTAGATGTGAAAGGAATAAGACTTGACATTTTACCACTAATGAGGACAAATGTGGGCACTGCAGTACCACTATGCGTTACTACTAGTGCAGAGAGAAGGTGGAAGACAGATTAACAGGCTGAAAAACATGGACTCTTCAGACTGAGTTCTGCACAATTTCAAACTCTGACTGTAGGGTGGAAGGGTATCTTAGTCTAAATGAAGAATAGGCAGTGTAGGGTTTAATTAATTGAGGCAATCTTTCATTTGCCATGCTTAAGAAAGAGTTACAGTACCGTAGCATCTCTGTGTGCAGCTTTTCTAGGTTCTAGGCCTCCAGGGGAGAGAGTGTGAATGTGCACATTGTATACGTTTGAAGCACAAACAAACTAGAGCACAACTTAAATGCAAGTGAAGCACAACAGCGATACGACCATCAAAAAATAAATTGTAGTTATTGTCGTGGGAGTTTCAAAGCCAGAGGGCTCAGGGGAGCTACAGTAAAGATCTCATCAAATGTTCTTGGAATACGGTGATGGCTCATGAAAAGCTGAGGAACAGAAGACAAATTAATTGGCGGTTATAATGCAGATGTCTTCACACATCTCAGCTAATTATCAGAACAGCATCATGTGGCATACGAAGACGCTGCAATAACACAATCTCAGTTTGAGGTGCAGATAAATGATGGAGCTGCCAGTGGCGAGACACTGGGGATCAATGTATAGATCCGGTGGCTTTAAAATTCAGAGTGCATGAGGGATCAAACTACAGAGGAAATTAAGAAATTGACAGTATTGCAAGGTCAGAGAATACACAGGACCTTGTTTACTGTAAGACATGGAAACAAGGTAAAATAAGGGCACCTTCAAAGAATGAAAACAAAGACCTGGACTAAGAACAGGATCAGTGGACGATGCATTCAACTAATCCTACTAATAGCAATCGTGATAAGCACTTGTAAGAGTGTATCAGGCTCACACCAAAAGTACAGTATGTTCAAACTCGCTCTGTTTTGCTGTCGCTCTCCGTGGTGCTGAAACACTCAAACAGATCTCTCCTGGTGCTTCTCTTCTTGATGCTAAAAAAAAGCAACATCTCACCTTTACATTGGTTCTCATCCCAGGGGTAGACACAGTTCTGCATGCCATTACACACCAGGGTGTTGTTTATGCACATGTTGCTGTGACAGAAGAAGGCATCTGCATCACATGGAGCTGGATGGGACAAACAAATTACAACAACAGTTACAGAATTATAAAGTAGTACTATCTTCACTCAGTTCAATCACTACCCTGTACTTACTCACTTGTAATCTAATCGGAAGCCATATATACAGTTGAGTGAAAACTTTTACTTTTTAGTGATTCTCCGCTCATTAACAACAGCAGATGTGTAGGACACTTTAGATATGCTGCAGCACAAATCAGTATTTACAGCTGAAGAGTTGTCCCAGTGTGCCAGATTTGGAGGAAATAAATTTGGATGGGCATTACTCAAATCAGACTTGTCCCCCCCCCCCCCCCTGAACCCATCTGTTCTTCATGAATTTTCATCCTCCTCTTCAAACATTTGCAGAGACAACTTCTGGATATGAATTTCTTGAAATGTGAGCGTACTGTATGTGTGTGGTGACCAAAAAGCTAGCCACGGCATTTCGCAATCATCTGCACACAGAACAAACCCCCAAAACAAATTATTTCTATTCACGCAAGACGTTGTTTATTTCTCCTCGGTGCACAGCCCACATCAACACAAATTTAAACCAGGCCATAAACACGAGCTTGTCCTCAGACACATGATCTACCATGGCACCCGCTCTGCCTGTGTGGCCCGAGACACAGCGCTGCCTTCGCGTCATAAGAGGTAGAGCCACCCATCAGTGAGACATGATCGTAAAATCAGTGTCCTACGGTCAATAACAGTGAGGAAGAGTGCCACGGCACGCTAACGACATGCTGATAGTTTGTCCTATTTAATCTACAGTGTAGAGTGCCGTTTTACTGTCACCTGCTAGATAATTGTAGTGTAGTGCTCTCTCCCCTCAAAACACAACACGGGCACCGGGTACTAAAGCAGCTTGCCAGTGGTATGGCAGAGCTGGGGACTATTTGACAGTGTTACCTCAGTAATGTATGGCTGTTTTCATCCCAGCACTCATCCCAAGTGAATAATAACACAGTAAATTAGAGTGACTTATCTCTATCTCTCTCTGTATCCCATCCTGTCTGGGCCTTTGCTAGCACTTCCTGAGTGACGCAGGCTCTCTGTGTGTGTTTTCCGATACCCCTCTTCTCATTTTCTCCCCCTACCTCCGATTGCCTCTTTCTCATCATTTTCTTTTTCTTTCATGCATTGTATGCCAAAGATTGTTTTGTTAATAACCAGCAGAGGGAGTCCACTCCTTCTTTCGCCTCCTGTCGCCTCCACACACACACCACAGGATGAGACAAGACGATATGAAGAGTGAGATCCGCACTAATCTCTTGTGAAATTAATTTCAAGACATTCTGTAATATAAGTGCCCCTTCGCCCCACACAGAAACATCCCAAGTCACTGCTGGAAGCATAAATGAACTCCTAAATGAGTGGCTGATGAAAGAAGTCTGGGTGTCTCTGTAGAGGTGGGCTCCAAGAGCGAAGATGTTTCTATAGTGAAGCGCTAGAAGCAACACATGGTTATCATGATTGATTCCAATTAAATAACCATTATAGAGCTGTGTTTTTGTTCCAGTGTAGTTAGGCTATTTCTCGAATACGAGGATGATATCTCTTTATTTTGTCTGATGTTGTCAATGTTGTTTTCCTTTTCCAATAATGATGCTTTTTCCGCGCTCATGTCTGCAGTGACATAATCTCTAACTTGCTCTAATTTGGGACATTATTGTCAGTTACTGGTTATGCGTTACGGATTCTTGTTTTTAACCCGTAACGTTGACAATATATTTTTATTTTCCTGCCTTAATTAATTACCATATGCTCCTCACTGGTACCACCAAGAAGACAGACCACATCTACCCGGCACTGGCCTCCTTTCACTGGTTACCAGTGAAATATACTGTAGGAAGTATGTTATTGGTTTTTAAAGCACGGCATGGACCGGCACCTTCATAGATTTCCGATGTCCTTCCTCTTTCCATTTATTACTGAGCAAAAACAGTGGGTTTGTCAGCTGATTAAGTGGAGTATATTACATTTACTACTTTTGTTATCATTCAACAAAATCTCAGTACATGGAATTTCTCCAAACGCTGGATTTTCCAAAAAGCCATCCATCTCCATCCATCCATCTCCATCCATCCATCCCTGTTTCCTATCCTACAATTCTACAATCTCATCTAATTCCCTCACTACTCTTTATAATCCCAAAGTAACCAAGATAACAAGTGTGTAGAGATGATATAATCCCAGGATCTAAAGATCAGTATGCCAACAGACATTAGCATACTGTGTTGTTCTTAAACTCTTTCATGCATTCAGCAAAGAAGCTTAGCAAGAAACGAGAAGTGATGTGTGTAGTGAAGCCAGAGCAAATTTCCATCTGCAGCCCCAGAGACAGGTATCTGTTGATGAGGCGTAACAATGCTGACAGACGTGATGTCACACGAGCACATTTATCACAAAGACATAATTGCTTCTTGGGTGAAGATAGGCTTCACTTACTCATACTTCACATTGGTAATCTTACACTGTAGTTCTGCATAGCAAGAGTGTGCATGTGTGTGTGTGTGTGTGTGTGTGTGTGTGTGTGTGTGTGTGTCTGAAAACAGAGCAAGATCAGTAGTATCTGCAGGTGTGAACGCAGCACGGACAATAAATGTGGATTTTTGCATTTGGGAACGTTGTCCCCATCGGAGCATCTTGCTGGGAGTCAGCAGCTGTGAATGGTTCTCTAAAAACTGCTGGTCCCACTGGGAACCAGCAGCTGTGAACAAACATATAAAGGATTGGGATCTACTGTAGCAAGGGAACGCTTATTCTAAAAACGGCCCTGCAAATAGAGAGTACACGTGCTCACTCGTAGCAGTTACACATTGTCTTCCTTTCATCCTTATTTAACTTCTGTGGTACATGGTGCACATTGTACCTCACCTTACATTGTCTCTTCTGTCAACTGCTCTCGCCTGCTCTCCATCTTTTCCCAGAAATGATTTTAAAAATGTAATTATTTTTTTATTCACATGGTAATGAAACTTTTAATTTCCTCGCCTTTCAGTTTCTCAGGGAGCTGCAATGCAGAATGATCGTCTACTTATTTTATTTCTACTGTTTGTGCTTCAATGTGACGACTGTAGCCTTTCAAAACCTGCTCTTGTTTTACATTATGAAATCAACAAGGTTAAAATCTTCCAAAAACCATGTGCATATAATTAAAATGTCATTACATCTTGTCAACAAATCTTACCCTGTGACGAAATGACGGTGCATGTTGAAATAAGCAGCGTTAAGCCGCTATTCCCAATGTACTATAATACGTTTTACTGTTTGAAAAAAATAAATAAAAAGTTGACTTGCACTCGCACCAACTTCAGACAGCATCACTAGACTGAATCGCCTCTCTGGTACACCTGTTCATTTGCTGCTGACAGGGTTGGTGCAGTGCTGCTGAGCTGTGGTGGATGCTGCTCTAAAGGCTGAGGTCTGGCTGGGGATCGCCTGAGTGACTTAAGCAGAGGCGTTGCCCTGGCAACAGCACATCCTGGCTCTGCTTGGTGTGAAGGCCTTTACGAAAGGGGACCACTGACTTCACAACACAAACGACGAATACTGACGCTGTTCGCTTATTCTACAGAAGCGAGACACTAAGCGAATCGTATTGCTACAATATACACATACGACCGACATAGACGTGTTGTAGATATGTGAGGAGTGACAACGGACTCATTAAGTGTGTGAGTCTAGTTTGTGACGTTCAATAAATCCAATCGACCATGCAGGAGGATGAAAAAGTAAATTCAGCTCACTTTTAAATAATCACTGGCTTTTGAATATATTTCTTCATCGATGATGCATTATTTCTTCTTTTCAACAGCCACAATCTCAAGATGACGCACTGAGGCAACAATAAAGCAATCTCAAAGGAAGCATGGTGTTTCCTTTTGCCATCATAAAAATGAAAGAGCACAGCACCTCTGAAATACCAGTGGAACCGCAAATGATGTTTTTGAAACTCACTGAATTGATTTAATGTATTTCTTGTATTTGAATCATGTAAAACAAAAAAAAAAAAAAAAATTGAGCAGCCTTTTACTGAGAGAGATACCTCTTCAAGTTCCAAAAATGAAAAGATGCAATGTTTAGTAGTGCAGTGTGTGTGTGTGTGTGTGTGTGTGTGTGTGTGTGTGTGTGTGTGTGTGTGCGTGCGGCAGTGAAAAGGCGCCGAATGACATTGACATACTGTATACTCACAAGCTGGAGACCCTCTTCATTCACCTCTCTAGTACAAAGAATGCCCTCTGCAACCCCTGTCAAACTACAAGCTCCTTCAATGAGGAGCCACTGAATGAGAAAGAGGAAGAGCTTGTGTGCTGTGTCGGCTAAAAGAAAATGGGGAAATGTGAACATACTGTTGCTCACCCAGATATTCCTTTGTCTCAGTCTCTCTCTCTCTCTCTCTCCCTTTCTGTATCTATCTATTGAGAACGGTGCTGATAGTGCTGCAGCACTGACCTAAAATCCACCAATACTATCATATCCGTAATAACCCACAGGCAATATTCCCTATAATGGAAATCACATTCCTTGGTTTCCTGCTTGCTGCTGTTTAAATGGTCATGAAACTAAATGGAAGCCTCCGACAGCATCTTTTCCATTAAAAGCATCCAATAGAAATTACCATAAACATGGTCACCGTGCCTCCATCTTCCTTTAACCAATAAAGACCAGACCTGTTTTTTTTTTTGGCGTCAATGTCGCTGTCATGGAGTCTGATTAATAAAGCCAATCAGTTTCTCCTAGGTGAGTGATGCTGCAGTCAATATCTTTATGATAAACAGCATGAGTGTGAGTGTAGGAATCTTACGCTCTTGGTAGGTCGTGTAAAGGATGCGGAAGCGGCTTTTGCGGCTGGCCTCGTCCGCCCACATGCGGATGACGCCCAGTGTGGAAACCAGCATGATGTCGTTGGCCACCGTGGAGCAGAACTTGCTCTTCAGGTCTTCCACCGAACTGAGATGAGTCAGGATGAGATAACATATCTGCAGTTTATTATCAAGTATCATGGACATTCACTCTGAATCTCAATGTGCAACTCAATTATCTACATTATTTAACAGCACCCACGGTTGTTCCGATTAATTTAAGGCCCAATATCACAACTTTATATCCAGGTAATCTCAAGATAACAAATTAGATTGTTGGGGAGCTCATATTTGTTGAAAGCGTACTGCAGTTAATGATTCAATTAATTCCTTATCTCAAGATATTGAATATGGTTTTCTTTGATCATGAATTAAATATCTCATGATCTCGAGATAAAAAGAAGTTTCGGCTCTGCAAGTGAAGTTGGGAATAGTTTGATATTCTAGAAAACACACTTGCTTTATACATTTTCAATTGCTTCTGCCAGCAGACATTAAACCAGGAGGAAACAGCTATGGCTCAGTCCAATGGTAACACAATCCACCTGTCAGCACCTTTAAATCTTGTTTGTTTAATCCGTACAAAAAAGAAAGTGCAAAAACGACAAGTTGTGGTGTCATGGGGGATATGTGCTTGGCTATTTTTGGGCTGGGTGCAGTGACTTCCTGGGGTTTATACTTTTTGCAACTCTCCCCAAGAGAGCAAACAAGTGTATTTCTGAAATGTTTGGACTATTCCTTAAACTGACAAAGATTTGTCCACAATTTGTCTTGAATATAAATTTACAATGATAGGCTCTTTCTCCTTGTGTCAGAAATTGATTCCTGTAAAGTAATTAATCTTATTTCAGCCATAAGTTCTCAGAGTGCTACCCATTAAGACATGAGAGGTTAACTTGACATGGACAGACTACGGCAAAGGAACTGTATCTTGTCAAAACCATTAATTTCATGTCATGACATATTTAAATATTAAAGTCTTCAAAAGAAAAAGCACAATGGTAAGTTGTTATCTCAAGATAAGGAGATGATTAAGTCATGATCACAAGATAAAGGGCCTAAAATGAATGAGTAATTATGGCCACTTTGAGCCTCTGTATAATTTATTAAAATGAGAGGTTACAAATGTCACACCTGCCACCATCATACACTGCCACAAAGTTGCGCTTGCATTCGTTGGAATTGGCCATCTCATAGTCGAGAAAACGCAGGTAGATCTGTCAGAGAGGAGGGAAAATACAGAGAGAAAAGGCAGAGATCAAATGAGGAAATTTAAAGATGTGGAAAGAAAAAAAGGTGAACTGAAAATATTTCAGATCATTTCTATTATGGCCTGTGCATCTTACTCATTATCCCAGAGCCTGATTTAGAGGCTTTGTAATGAAATAAGACGGACAGACTGCAGCTTGTACGAAGTCATTACGCACGCATATGAAAGGAGGACTCAGGGTCCATTAGCTTTAGACTCATTATCTGTTGGGATAAAGCATTACATAAAACCTACAACCTTGTTAAACTTTGAGGAGACTTTGGACATTTTTGCCACAAGCTTTAGATTATCAAGAGAGAAGATGTCATCCATTCACAGTTAACTTCAGACCCATTCTTTCAAATTCATGGATACCAAACATATACAATATATAATGAAGCTTTTAAAACCGTGACAGCTATATGGACTATTTTATTACCTTAACGATCCATTATTGAGTGAAATATCCACCTTGGTAACCACCTTGACTCTTCACAACAGCTATTCTAGGTGAAAGTAATACTTCCTTATTGCCTCTGCATCATCTGTCACTCGTTCGTCTGGCTGAGATCGCCCAATCCCGGCTATGGTTCTGGTTGGCTGCGCACAGCACTTGCCATCATTACGGTTAATGAGTGGATCGCTCCCCAATTGTGACAGGGAAATGTGACACTTCAAATGCCCACAGACGAAAGCTGCAGATGTAGCAGGATAATGGACCTTGGAATGTCAACTCGGCTCCAACAACATGACAAGTGAAATGGATTGGAGGGGGGAAACAAGTTATCCAGTTCCCCCTGGATTCCATATTCAAAAATCTTCCATCTAATAAAGGTTTGTTATATATTCAGCCACTCTTAAGGTTTTTGTCACAAGACTAAGGACATTATTTTGGTCTTCAATGCTGTGGTACTGGAATAAAATAGAGATGTGCCTTTCCTAAAATGCATGTCTTAACCCCTGCAGGAAGGACTGGAAGATGGAAGATGCTCTGAAAACAATTTCTTAGCTGACGTCACTGTAGGGTGCTGTTGTGGTCTATCCGATACAGCATGAATTGTCAGCACAGTGCCTTTTAAATGTGATGGAAATATTGAGATGGTGGATACAACATTTGGTTTTGAACAGGGTGGATGAACTCAGAAAGACATTACATTCATAAAATGCAGCTAAGAATATTGTTTTCAGAAATATGAAGAATTTAGGATCTGAAGAGATCTGTCAGCAATCCCTTACAATATGAAAGAGTGAAGGACAAAGTAGTTGTTATGGGTCGATGGTGTTTAGAAATGGCTCAATTCCACGTGGCATATTGCCAAAGAAGTCTGCTTTTATGCGTCATCCTAAAGGTTATAATCAGTGTCAAGGTTCATGAGGCCAGTAATCTGTAAAAATGTACCTATAAGCATGTTAATTAGGTCACTTGGCCCAATCATTCTATTGTCAGCTCAGCCAAATTAGGCTGTAAGCTAATTCCATCAGGGGAGACTAATTACAAATACAAAACATTGTTGATCAAGTGTACACTCAACTTTTTCAATAGACTTCATCTGGTGATAATGGCTGGTTAAAGCGATGAACCGACTATTGTTAAAGAGCATAACCTCCGAGCTTGTCCATGATACAGTTTCTGGTACTAGTCTGAGTCATGAGGCTTAAGTGGTGGTGTTGGGGACTTCTTTTTTCACCAGAGGACGATTCCTACTGACTTTGGTAACCCTTGAATTTTCATCCACTGTCACCAGCAGTTCAAAGTTTTCATTTATCCTGTGAAATATGTAAACATCTACTGGATTGACTGGCCCAAGATTTTGGACAGACATACATATCGTCATTTCTCATCTAGCGTTATCATTTGGTCACAATTTAAATTTGTCCAATACTTTGGTTTATGACTTAACACAAAAAAAGCCAATGACATTCTCATCAGCCTCAGATGTAATTTGTGTTTAGTTCTAATTAGCAAATGCTAGCATGCTAACACACTGAACTAAGATGGGCAACATGGTAAACATTATACCTGCTTATAATCAGCATGCACTGTTACTGTGAGCAGCATGATGAGAGCTGCTAGTGTGGCTGTTGACTCTTGGCCATGCCATTATCTATGACATATTTTAGAGCTGCACTAATGCACCAGTGTAACAATCTCTATGTGAGTTGAGTCTATCATCTATCTGACCGAAGTCTTTTCACAGCTTATAAGAGCTCTGCATTAACATCAATGATGAATTGCTTGAGGATACTTGCTGTATCTCTCATGTTGCAGCTAATAGGTTTGTCCTCCACAGGTGTAGTTTAAGTCGAATAGGGGTTGTGGTGCAAGAGCAGCAGTATGACAGAGATATTACCATTTTTTATGTATTAATACAATGTAAACCAATCCAGCACTAAAACGATGGCACTGTTGTCCTGCTGAAAGTGTGAACTTCAAAACCTGAAACGTTTGTGCAGGACAGATGGAAATGCGGCTTCAGGACATGGCTAGCTTTGTAAGTGCTGGTAGTTTCAGGCTAAACTTGAAAGAACCAAGAAACAAAAGTCTTTTCAATTATTGTTATTTGCCAGAGAGGGCCAACACTGTGATAAAAGAAAAATAATCCTTTACCCCATACTGCCATATGCACCCTTTTATGTTGTAAAAGATGGCAGCCTTATGGTCTTCGATCAAGAATGTATTATTTTTATGACATGAAATGTAAATGGTACCACAGAATGCAGTCGTTCCCATTTCGCTCATGTTTAGGCATGGGAGAATAATAACTGCAGTTCTTCATGCCTGTGAAGTAATGCGTGGTTGGTGCTCGCTAAATTTGAGCGGAAAGTCCATCAAGAAAGGCCTCATTATGTGAGGGAGACATGCACAAACCAACAAGTAAGCTGTTTTTCCACAGCTCTTGTTGCTGAACTCTTCCAACTGGCTGGAGATGAAGAAAAATCAGACTGCAGATGGCATCACAAAGCAAAATGACGGTAATGGATCAGATAGATACAATCACCAATTTGTAAGGCGAGAGATTGGCTCCAGCAGGAAAATAGGCTGCCTCCTCATTGATTCTGTAGCACCCCAATAATGACGCAGAATCCATCACTGACTGGGGAGGAATATGTTCTCACTGTTGCTAAAAGGCGCCTGTAACAGTGTACGTGCTGTTCATTACAGTCAAAATGAAGGCCCGTATTTAGGCCATTACCGTCATGAAAAAACGCAAAAGGTGTCAGACAGTGCAGGCTGACATGGTGGCAAAATCCAGACTGTGTAAAACAGACAAGACACAAATGATGGTTGGGAAAATGCAGTAGCTGTTATGAGTCAAAACAAGGCAACTAAAAATATTCCTCTACAACTAACAGCTGTCAGCTGAATTCGGACAGCTGTCCAAACAGAATCACCAAGAAGATGAAATGATACTAGAAATATACCAAATGCAGTCGACGAGAGTTATTATTGAGAGTTGTTATTTTGTATATGTATGTCTGTCTGCAAAGTGTGATATTGTGTTGCACAGCCTTGCCTCTAGCTGCATGTTTTTTGGGTTTTCTTTTAAGTGACTTTGGATGCTAGTAATAGCTAATTAGTGCGTTTCTTCAAGGTAGTTTCTGTGAAATCTATTTATAGGATGAAATTAAAATGACACATGGTGGTGTAAAGCAATCACATTATAGCATTAGAATTGGTGCAGTGCTGTCATTTCTGGCAACAACACATGGTTATTATTGCTTACTTGCCGGTATCTCTTTCAGCCGGTCTCCCCTTTAGTTAACTTTCACGCAATCCCATCTGCCATCTTGATACTGAACTTCCTCCCTATACATTTAGATATTTGATAAAATGCATTATTAAGTACATCTTTCCCTTATCCCCTTCTTTCCCATTTTTCCTCCTCCCCTGTCCCCCTCTCCTCCCTTCTCTCTGGAGCACTCCGGTACAGTCTAATTAGAGCCTCCGGTATAGGATGTCATTATCTCTCTTCTGTTTCTGGCACAGTGGGTACAGTGCAGTACTGTATCAGCATAGGGAAATGAAAGCACGCAGCACATACACTGATGTGGTGGGTGGCGTCCTTTGCATCCCTCACTGCGGTAACATGTGAGCGTGTGTGTGTGTGTTTTAGAAAGAGAGTACAGTAAGTTATATATATTTTGTGCGTGATTGAGCATGAACAGTGGATGTGGGAGCTTCAGGACTGTATGTGACTGAAGATAGATTTGTGCTAAAAAACGTATTTGCTGCCTTGTCCATCAGTGCCACTGACTGTCAGCCTGACTTGCCTTGTGAGACACTCCTGCAGGGCGAAAAATGACACTGATTCAGACCAAGGAAAATACATCATACTGCCAGGCTCGGTCCCTCTGTTGCTCTTTCATGCACATACACAGCCTTAGCCAAAGACTTATGATCGTCTTTGGTGCTGTAGCTGCAATGTACTGGCTGAATTACGCACTCCACTTAGAGAGACTGACAAATTAATGCTGCCTTTTTGCATTGATTGTAACATTTAACCGGGGACAGGGTCCCTCCTAACACCTGTTTCAAAGTTACAGTATTGTTTGGCTCTATCCGTGCTGATGATGAAAAGAATGGCTCTATAGATGGATGATGCAGTCATATGGTTCCTGTGGCCTTGGGACCTAAAGAAGCTGAATCCGAAGGACATTTTGAAGGGAGACAAGGCTTTAGATGGAAATATGCGACCCGAAGAATGTGTCAGATAAGAGCTAAGTAACTGCTGTGGCTATGAATCACAGTCACACCAATATTATCAGCCAGTCATATCATAAGTAGGGGTGTGTATAGTAAGAGCCTGCAGCACCGAATAAAAAACCTGCAAGAAAAAGTCAGTTTTTATCAATGATGGAACAAAGTTTAATATCTTCTCCAATGTGGACTGTATGACTTTAATAAAAGATCTCTACGGCCAGTGATAGCATTAACAAGTGCTGAATTATTGAAACAAGTAGTGACGGTTAAGCTGACATGGCAGCTGCCTTATCTCACTCTTGTGAGTAGCAGAAGACTACACACACTCTGAGAACTTTGCCATGTTGAGAGCCGTGTGGAGGCAATAGATAGATGTCCTCAATTTCATGTTGCCCTCTGATAAAAGCCCTTGCACTTGCAGTATTACAAACTGGAGCAACATTCGCGGGAAAAATATCATGTGGCGCCAAAACACACCTACAACTACTGCTCATCACCATGGGTGCCGCCAAAGAGAACAAAACACAGATCTCTGAGATTGTAACTTGAAGCCATTATAACATAAGGTATATTTTATCTCACCATTTAAAATGACAGTATTATAAATGTGACCATGCCCCTTTAAATCCTCAAAATGCAGGCCTCATAATACTTTTTGTCCTTGACTGAAATGTTCTATAAAAGTCTAAGTAAAACCGTGGTCTTATTCTATTAAATCAAGCCCTGCAAATGCACCCAGAAGAAGACCAACATTATTTCAGGAGTAGATTAACTGTAGTCATGGACTAAACGGTGTGTGTGTGTGCGTATATGACCAAGCCATATGAGAAGTTATAATGTTCGTAAAATGTGGCTTTTGCCGCTGCTCTTCCCTCGGGCAACTTTTAATCCCGTAGCATTAATGCAGCACAGGCAACTCTGGTAGATAAGGCAGCATGTCTAGTGTGTGTAAGGGGATGTAATAAAGGTGTGTATGTGTGTGTGTTTGTATGTCAGTATTTGTATATGCATGCAGGGCTGCGTGGAAAATACTGGCGGAGAAAACATATGCAGACTGTCAGAGGCCTCAGGGTCAAACGGCACAGCACTTACGTTCCCCCCCTCTCTCTGTCTGTCTG